AGTATGGTACTCGTTACGTTGTGTTTTCTGTTACCCTGTGTTTTGGATTACCTTTTGTCAACGTTTTTGCTTTGTTCTGGATTATTGTTTGAATTAGTGATGGGAAAATGAAGCTTTGTGAAGCACCGAGGCTTTCCCCTCAACTGTATCGTAAAAAGGTTCATTACTCGAAGATTTTCAAGACAGTGCACACTAACGACATCTTGTGGTCAAAAGGTGGAAAAAGCTGCCTTTGCGTCCCAGACAACCCAGCCATTTTTGGACGGTTTCAGATAATAAATTAGTTTGTGCTATGAAAACCTGTATAAAGCAAATAAAATATGAAGTCTATATAAATAAGTCTTCATGTCAGTCACTGTATTACACAATATGAATAAATGAGTCTGTGAATAAATTTGAGGAAAAAATAGGCAAGGCTGTATGATCAAAATAACGGAAGATTATCATAGACGATTGGTTAGTTAAAGTGTCTGTGAACCAGGAATTAATACAAAATTATCATGCAGAAAACTACACATGCAAATATTTATTCGTATTATGATTTATTCTTTTCAAAGACGTGAGGGACACTTGAAACTGTGCAAGTGGTTCACGTTATTTGAATCAGAATACGAAGCATGGTTGTGTGCGAAAACGACGCTTCGGACGTCACAGATCACGTGGTTTTGGCAAAATAAATCAAGCTCCGGTACAGTGCTTCACTGTGAGATGTTTCATTTTTTTGATACAAGCTTCGAAGCCTCAGTGTCGAACGTCACATCACTACATTTTACCTCCGTTGTGCTTGGCCCCTTCACTTCTGCTTGCAACTACATTTTAGAACTGTTTTTGCTTGTAAATGGTGCTTGATCTGTGCATATTTCTCTCCTACATGGATGAGGTGACTTTTTCACAGAAGAAAGCATTATTATGGATATGGGACTCTTTGGTAAGCAAGTGATATAATGCTACATTTCTCTAAATCTTTTTTGATGAAGAAACTAACTCATCTATTTTGGATGACCTAAGGGTGAGTAAATTTTCAGCAAATTTTCATTTCTGGGTGAACTATTCCTTTAACAATTTGTGTGGCAATGCATTCAGACAACAACTGGCCCATTTAATAGTCAGGGTCAGAGAGGGCGGAAAAACAGGTGTACTACTGCAACACTGCACTCTACTCATCTCACTCGCACAAAACACAGCTCTGAACTTCTCAAACTGCATCAAAACACATGTAAACAAATGCATATTCGTCCTCATCATTAACATTTCTATAAGGGTGATATTTAACTTGTAGAGTTTCAATGATAAGTAGGCCTACATTAGATCACACATGCAATGCAAATGGGTTTTGCTAAACATCACGTCTGGGTTTGACTTATGAATAAATTATCCATACAGAATGTCAGGTTTCAGAAATCACACCAAACAAAATAAAACATCATCATCAATATCGTTATCATTGAATGTTTTTTCAAAAAAGAACTCGATTAAACATTTTATTCAAAAATATATTAACATGTTTACTTTGAAATTGTAGGGGGGAAAAATACTATATGACTCCTTTATAACATCAGCAATCATAAAGATGAAAATATTGATAAATGAAAACCTTAGATCCCACATGGTCCTTCCACGCCCGTTTGGAGTGAAAGTAGCGGCCACAGGCCACACAGGCATAGAAAGCAGCGGGGCTGCCTCTCAGCGTAATCGTGGGATCACAGGGTGAATGATCAAACCTGACAATAAAAAGTTACACTTGGTCAAACAGAAAAATTCTGAGCAATTTGTGAACTTGTACCAAGTACCTTTTAAGATGACCCTCGAGCAAAGGAACATTGTCATAGACTCTGCCGCAGTTGATGACCGGGCAGGTTCGAGGAGAACATTGTGCTGCAACGGGAGCCGATCTGTGTCTCCACAGTGAGCTGGCTGAGTTCACGGTGCCGGGCTGTAACCCTGAGCAATCCAGAGAAAGTGAGCAGAAGCACCAACCATATACACATACACTATTAGTGGAAATATTAAAGTTAGAACAATATTACAGACCTGGCATTTTTAGCCAAATATCCACACATCGCTTAGCATCGCTACTGCCACTATTACTATGGCTGACCGACAGCTCGTGCTGCCCATGTGCTTGCTGTGAAATTATTTTCTCCTATAAAACAAATCACAAAATCTATGTCATTTATCCTGAACATGCACTGCAAGTCACCTTCATTTCTATAGCACTTTATACAATACAGATTGTTACCAAGAAGCTTTACCGTTTAGAAGAGTTCACCCAAAAATGAAAATTTGCTGAACATTTACATCCAAGATGTTAATGTGTTTCTTAACGGGAACAGATTTGTAAAAATTTTGCATTGCATCAGTGTCTCAGCAATGGATGCTCTGCAGTGAATGGGTGCCGTCAGAATGAGAGTCCAAACAGCTGATAAAAACATCACAATCCACTCCAGTCCATCAGTTAACATCTGGAGAAGCCAAAAGATTAAACAAATCCATCATTAAGATGTTTTTAACTTTAAAGGACTAGTTGACTTCCAGAATAAAACAATTTGCTGATCATTTGGCTAGATAAGACCCTTATTCCTCGGCTGGCCCTTTGAAGCTGCATTGAAACTGCAATTTGGACCTTCTATCCATTGGCCGCCATTGAAGTCCACTATATGGAGAACAATCCTGTCATGTTCTCCTCAAAAACCTTCATTTCTTTGCGACTGAAGAAAGAAAGACATGAACATTTTGGATGACATGGGGGTGAGTATATCATCAGAATTTTTATTCTGCAAGTGAACTAATCCTTTAAACTGTTGCTTCCGGCTAAACTATAAATCCATAATAACGCTTCCTCCAGTGAAAAGGTGTTCTGGTCTGAATCAGGAGAGAAATCACCGTTTACAAGCCAAAATAGTTGGTGTTGTGGATTTTGATGCGAGAGGACAACAGGGGATGGACTTTTTCACTGAAGGAAGTGTTATTATGGATATTGGATGGATTTTGGCCAGAAGCAACAGATTAAAATTAAAACACCTGAATGCTGGATTTGTTTCTTACAAACATGCAGCTTTTGTCTTCTCCAGATGTTAACTGATGGACTGGAGTGGTGTGGATTATTGTGATGTTTTTATCAGCTGTTTGGACTCTCATTCTGACGGCACCCATTCACTGCAGAGCATCCATTGCTGAGACACTGATGCAATGCTACATTTCTACAAATCTGCTCCCAAGAAGAAACTAATTTTTAGTGAATTTTCATTTTTGGGTGAATGGTTCCTTTAATCTTGAGTGATGGTATATGCAACTATGGATTTTTTTTTCCAAGTCTACAAGGACTGAGAAAAGTCAAACCTTAAAAGCTTTGCACTTTTCAAGCCTCTCCAGTTTTTCCACGGCTACTTGCCGTGCCAGTCTGTCCAGTGTGGACATAGCATGAGCCCTCTGCTGGTCAACCTGCTCCTCAATCTGAGCGAAGCATTAAAGCACAAGGACAAAACAAGAACATTACAAAAAAATAAAAAATTCTGATGCAGCTTATACATGTAAATAATATACAATGAACAGTTCACCCAAAAATTCGATATAAAATTCAGAACATATTTGAAGATTGTCAAAGCTTCTTTTTTTCTCCATACAATGAAGCAGGACAGTGCTCGACTCCAAAGCCCCAATTTGCATCCACGTTTACACCTGGCACACAACATCGTGTTTCTATGGGGTGGGGGAGGTGTGTCTTATGGAGCGCAGTAACTTGAGAACTGGTTTGTTGTTTCCGACACCCTTTCTTCCCTTTTGTCCTTCTCATCTGCCTCCCAATAAACACTACAGTATCATAAAAAGGTGTCTATATGAGCCATGCACTATACGTTATGTTATACTTCGCTATTATACAAGCCAAGTTTGACATGACTGATGCCAAATATCATTTGACCTTCCATGGATTGTGACCAATTGTGATGCAAGTGGAAATGTAAGACCACCATTTACATGGCATTCATGCATTTGGTAGATGCTTTTATCCAAAGAGACTTACAATGCATTTAAGATTTTGTTTGTTCACTACAGTTTAAGTTAAAAAAATCACTGAAATACAAACCAGAAAAGAGTTACTTCAATATTAACCCGTTCCTCACATAAAGCTATCGCACGGCTTCTGAAAACTTGGAATACTGCACATTTTTGTAGTTTGGTTGTGTGAATCATGATGGAAAAGAGCAGCTTGGACATTCTGCCAAACATCATCTTTTGTGTTTCACAAAACAAAGGTTGCACGTTCGGAACAAGATGATGGTGAGTAAATGAAGAGATAACGACCTACACTTTTAATTTTTATACTCTAGACAGTGTTTAAGGAAACTCACGGTGTGTGCGGCAGACATGCCACCCTCATCCTCTCCGTCACTCAGCAGGTCAATGCATTCCAACACCGGTCTGAGAAGACCCTCCTAAAACACAGTGTTTTAATGCGAATTAATCAGTTCTGCTATATTACACAGGCTCAAATCCAGTTCCCAAGTGTGAAGACCTAGATCCAGACAACTGTCCTAATAACTCAAATTAGAAATCAATAGGGATGTAACGATTAACTCTCATTTAAAAATAAATAAATCGTGAATCGAATCGAATCGTGAGTTGAGTGAATCGTTACATCCCTACAAATCAAGGCTGTGACATTTTAGGCACACTTACAGACACAAACTCCACCTCATCCTCCTCATCCTCGCTGACTGTAGAGGCAGACATCACATCTGTCCTCTGTGGAGCATCACATTAATCACTGCCAGTTAAAAGACATCAGTATGACATGAAGTATTGCATGCAAAAACGATTTTAAAACTAACTGCACACGCTTTAACATTATACATAGCATTTAAATGTTATTTTACGTCATTAAACGTGGATAGTGAACGCATGTTAGAGTAGGGTGAGCATACGTGCCATTTTCCCAGGACGCGTCCTGGCCAGGATTTCTATATTGCCTAAAATATCTAGGTTTTGGCTTTGTTTGCGTGTGCAGACCGATCGGTGTATGACATCAAAATACCTCGAGAGCATTTTGAAAGCATAAGGAACCGTCTGTATGGTATTTTGATGTCATACACCGATGTTAGAGTAAATCAAAAGTAATCAATCCTGCAAACAGCTTGCATGAATGTCAACTACTCGTCGACAGGACAATGAGAGAAAGTCACACCAAACAAACTGTCTCGAAAGCTGCTCTGTAATGACAACGCTTGCAAACAGTTCACCACCAAGACAAAATCGCAAAATCTAATGCTAATTCGAGTAAAAGTTAGCAAAGCATTACCAAAACTGAGCACGTAGGAAGCGGTCATCAAATCTAACATCACAGGAAGTGAGCTCGTCAAAATAAAAGTCGTCCACCACATGTTATTTTTTTATTATTATTTTACCGTTATTTCAATAAAAATAATGAAACGACTGTGTTTTTTCTTTCTTTCTACAAAATACTACAATTATCTAGATTTTTTTAAAAGGGGGAAAACAAATGATTGCATAACTCATGCTTGATTCATTCATAGCCTACTGCATACTGCAAGCAATATTAATCATTGTTAATATAATCTATGATTATCAAGACACCTTACACATAAAAACTGTATAGTCTACTTGTTTCATAACTAAAAAAAAAATATGATTTACCTTATAACTTAATCATATACGTTTACAGTAAAATATTATTGGCAACGGTATCCTTTATACAAGCATATCAAGCAGTAAATCGCTTTATAATTCGTAGACAAGGGCATTCCTAGAAATGTCTGTTTATAGGCTATTTATTTCTATAGTTATCCTAGGCCTATTTCTTATGAATATTATCAACTGTGACCCTGGACCACAAAACAGTCATAAGAGTCCATTTTTTAAAATTGAGATTTATACATCATCTGAAAGCTGAATGATTAGCTTTCCATTGATGTATGGTTTGTGAGGATAGGACAATATTTGGCCGAGATACAACTATTTGAAAATCTGGAATCTGAGGGTGCAAAAAAAACTAAATATTGAGAAAATCATCTTTAAAGTTGTCCAAATGAAGTTCTTAGCAATGCGTATTACTAATCAAAAATTAAGTTTTGATATATTTACGGTAGGAAATGTACTAAATATCTTCATGGAACATGATCTTTACTTAATATCCTGATGATTTTTGGCATAAAAGAAACATCTATAATTTTGACCCATACTATGTATTGTTGGCTATTGCTACAAATATCCCCCAGCGACTTAAGACTGCTTTTGTGCTCCAGGGTCACAATTAGTTCACGTTATTTATTTATTTATGCCATTATTTCAGTTTTATTTGTGTTTTGGGTAATGTTACCATCCATTGCTTCTGTGTAAATTTGAACAGATTATAATGGCTCACTTAATTTAGCTTAATTTAACTGTTATTACACTGTAGGCCTAAATGTAAAATAGGTTATACTACAAAATGCTATTCTATGCTCATGCACTCTTTCTTACAGCAATGTTCTGGCATCACTGATGTGGCAAGTTAACTGTAAATAACCCATATGCATATTCCTGATAAGGGCTCTGCCATTAAATCTGATTCGGATTGTAAGTCGTTCAAATAAAACTAATTTAAGGCGTCCCAGAAATGAATGGGATTGAGTCCACGTAGAGTGCTTCACAAAAGAGCTCACGCTAGAAACATACGGTCAGTGTTTGTTTACGCTTGGAAGCTTAAGTACTTAAGCTTAATAACTTAAGATATTTAATAACTTAAGATATTTAAAAGAAAAAAAATCTAATACAAATCAAGAGCATGTTATCACACTTAACATTAAAACATTACGGATAAATGACAACATAAAAAAAAAGATGAACCCTTTTGTTGGTTTACTTTTATCAAATAAAACACCCAACAGTGAACTTAAAGGAAATTATTAATTATTGGTTTTATTTCTTGTTTAAAATGCTTCCCAACTGCATTCCTCAAGTCCAACTCTGTTGCTGCCGGGAAGTTGGTCATCACAGCATCTGCCAAATAAGAAAGAAGAAAAAAGCACAAGAAAAGCTTGACATAATTTTTTTACTTTAATTAATGCGTGCTGAACCGTGGGCTAGTCCAGGATCACTATCAACTACAATCTGCTCCCTTCACTAACATGTCATGGTTCCTAAACATGATAACAAATAATAGAGATAAATAATGAACACATGTCAAAATGAAAACACAGATACTTACAAGACCAAGTAGGAATGTCCTTTATCATTTGTTGTTTGCCCGCTGCTCTCCGACAAGTAAACTTAGTGCTCTCTTGTGTAATGTAAACGCTGTTACTTTGCTTACATGATGGAATATCATACATCTCACAAGTTATTTTGCCAAAAAACGACATGAACCCAAATTCAATGTTATTTGGGCTAGAAGTGGGTTACACATAGCCGGACTATATCGGGTCTATACTTAACCGAGACGTTGAAATGACGGCTATTGCTTGCTGGGTATAGATGCTCCTGCTCGCGCGCCGCAGCTTTGCTGAGCTCAGATGAGATGCTGCTGATGCTGGCGCTGCCCCGATGAGCTCTAAACAACAGGGGCTCCTGCTGAGTCATGGCTTGTTGTGGTCCATTACTGAAGTACAGACACCATGAGATAGATTATATGCCGGGGACCTACAAGTGAGGCATTACAGCATGAAATAGCCGCTCATAGTAGCCTAATTACATAAGGAGAGGAAGCAGACGTGTAGGAGTGGCAATGATTGCTGCGGCTTTTCTGGTCTTATTGAGACCCTTAAGTATTCAGTGTGTATTATTGCTATTATTGCTTTTGGTAGGAACTGTCGCCACGATCCTGTTTCTCAGCTGCTGGCATCGGAAGCTCCGCACTGAGAAAATTCCCATAAAATCCGTGTTTACGAGGCGTTCGAGGAGTCGTGGTGAGTAGACCACCCTATATATGTGTTTCTGTAGGATGTCATTGCGATAACATGCATGCTGCACAGTATTTATTAGACATTTTCATTCACTCTTCTCGAAAAACGACACGGCCATTAAAGCGCCTGAGTGCGGCATGCGAGCGCAAGAGCGATGCTTCATTTTCATCGTCTGTTCTCGTTGAGTGTTTAATAAAGTGTTCTTTATTTCAAGAACAGACAGAGTTATTTGAAGAGCATCTCTAATTAGACACAATATGACTGAATGCATGTGGACTTTGTTTCAATCTTTCCCATTTGTTCTAGAAGCTGGTTTGCGGCCGCATCATTTTCGCTCTGAGGTAAATCTCTTTCTCTTGCTCTGTCTGTGAAGAAAATTCAGAAAAGACTACTTTTGTGTAAATATTGTATGCTACCAAGAAGTTTTGAAAACTAATAAACAACGAAAGATAGACGGAGGTGGCAAGTGTTATTATTTTAGGATAGGGAAAACTGCAATAATTTGTAGCGTTTCGCAGTTTTTGTTCTGCGATGATATTATGGTCATTGTTTGACAGGTATGTCGTCACAGTCCACGTCACGCGAGGAGAAGCGCACGCGCGCGCGTTTCTGAAGAGAAGCCGCTCATCGAGAGCGAGCCGGACTCGAACCTGAGGAAGCGCAGAGTGAAGAAGAGAGTCCAGCCAGACTTCTATCACTCCGTGCAGCTCACGCCAACACGCAAACCAGTAGGTATATCCTCATCTATGAGGCATTCACTCGCAGTCCACTCTTAGAAGAAATAAAGCTTCTACATTGGCATCTATGGTTCCATGAAGAACCTTCATTGCACAAAAATGTTCTTCATAGCGCAACGTGTTTCTTTACATTTTTAGAATGTTCTTCACTCTAAGAAAAACAATGGTTCTTTTGAGAACTGTTTACTGAAAGGTTCTTTGGGGAACCAAAAATGGTTCTTTGAAATCCCACCTTTATTTGTAAGAGTGTACTAACTTCTTACAGCGCTAATGCTAAAGACATCTGAGGTTATCTTGAGCCACACCACACTCTCTGTTGAGCGATGTTGCCCAAAATAACTTCAGATATCTTTACCAATAGCGCTGTAATAAATTAAAAAGCATATTTTAGGTCTAATAAAAAAATAAAAATAATACAAAATAGTAAAATGTAATAAAGGAGCTAAGCTAAAATCAACATGAAATAAAAATCAACTTTATTGATTTTCTTAAAGGGGTGCTATTATGCTTTTTCACTTTTTCAACTTTAGCTAGTCTGTAATTTTGCTGTTTGAGCATAAAAAAAGATCTGCAAAGTTACAAAGCTCAAAGTCCACTTCAAAAGGAGATATTTTATTTAACAGAAATCACTTTTCTAAAACTACAACGAACGACTCATTTGGACTACAACGCATATTTTCCGGGATTTGTGATATCACTCGTCTACGAATGGGACGAGACCTGGTTGAGCTGCACTAGAGAAGGCAACGAGTGTTTTCACTACGTCGGAGACACGCTAGCTTTCCCAAGGCAGACGAACTTAGAGTGGTTACAATCATGACCAAATGTGACCAAATGTGACGTGACATGTGGCCAAGTATGTTGACCCATACTTGGAATTAGTGCTCTGCATTTAACCCATCCAAAGTGCACACACACAGCAGTGAACACACACACACCGTGAACACACACCCGGAGCAGTGGGCAGCCATTTATGATGCGGCGCCCGGGGAGCAGTTGGGGGTTCGGTGCCTTGCTCAAGGGCACCTCAGTCGTGGTATTGAAGGTGGAGAGAGTGCTGTACATTCACTCCCCCCACCTACAACTCCTGCCGGTACGAGACTCGAACCCGCAACCTTTGAGTTACGAGTCCGACTCTCTAACCATTAGGCCACAACTTCCCCAAGGGT